TCTGCCACACGGTACTCTCTCCCTTTCTCTACTCCTAAAAGAAATTCAGATGGGGGATTTAAGTTGGATTGAAGACTTTCAGGATGTAGAGGTTGAAAATCAAGGGCTAAAGAAACTATGTCTTGAGGAATAAATGTTACCGTGTTATTCTCAACAGGGTCTGACCAGAATTTATAATACTCCAAGGTCCACATCTATTTTCGTCACATCTATCTAGTTTGTAGAAGAGTGAGTTCAAGATACTTTTGATGCTTATTTATTCATTCAACATCTTAGGTGTATTTATTGGGTAACTGTTATAAGCAAAGATCTATGGATATAAAAAGAAAATGAAACATTTCTTGCCTTCAAAGAGCTAACATTCTGTTAGGTGGAAAATAAGTTGTATGTAGACAATTAAATATAAAATACCTTCAAAAAAATGTCTGGGGTTGGAGGGGGAAGGGAATTACTGCCCTCTATTCATGTGGGGTTCATTTAACTTTGAACGATGATGGGAAAAAAGGGAGTAGTTCAGAAAGGAGGGACTTGACTCAGAGGAATGTTGTCCTCCTGTGATTATTTCTGTGTTTATCTCTCAAACAAAGCTTGACACAAAAGATATTCTTTTTTTATTGGCTACTTTATCAGAAAAAAGCTCCAGACTCAGTGGATCTTTAAAATGGAAATTTGGGTCCACCCTCCTTTTCTCTCTTCTCTTCCAGTCTATTGAGCATTCCCTGAATCTTTGATCTTCTCCCTGGAGTTTCATACTACCCAGTGACAACAAAAAGGTGGACGGCAAATACTTGGAAGCTGAAGCATGTGAAGGCTTAGGTGAGCCTGAGCCTGGCTTCCCTGGAGGCCACTTCTGTTTTAATTCTTTTCTGAGTATAGGTGACCAATTTTGACATTGATTTGTCCAATCTTGGAAGCAACTTTTGTGAATTTAAGAGGTCTGAAGATCCTAGATCCCTTGGTCAGAGATCGAATTGACAAAGGGAGAGTATCTCAGCCTATGGCTGGGCTCGCCAGAGAAAAGGAAACTGGAAGAAACTGTTTGGAATAGTGCCTAGCAGAGGTAAAATGTATCATTATTCAACAATTCTCCAGACTGCTTCATGTTCTGAAGTTTAAGTCTCAAACTCTTGAGAAAGTATAACAGCTTTTATAAATATTGCTTCTCATTTATGTTAAGCATTAGGAAATAAATAGCTGATCTGGAGCTGACACCGCTCCTAGTCTCTTTTGGAGAGACTAAAAATAAGCCAAACCTAACCTTTAAATAATTTTTAACAAGGGTCCAGTTTGGGGGATATAAAAAGTCAAAGATAATGAGAAGAGCCTGATCCCCTTCTTTGGGGTACAGGCATCTCTATGTTTGAACCCAGCGATGACTGAATCTAGAGTTGAGAGGAACCCCTTAGTGAAGGAGAAGGTAAAAGCTTTCAGCCCCCTAGGGCCATCAGTGATTCTAATTCTTTTACTTCAGGGCTTAGTCAGCAGTTCAGTAGTCTATTAGATTGAGCTCTGGTCCTGGAGCCCTATCATTATCTTCTTCCTCCTCCTCCTCTTCTTCCTCATTATTGGGGCTCATATGAGTGTATTTACACTCTTTTCGAACTAAGCCTCCTTACTCTATCAACAGATGACTTGGGACTATTCTGTGTGTTTGTAGAAATCCACTGGAGAAAAGTAGGGTGTCCTGTGAGTTTCAGAGACACCAATAAAAATTTCTTTTTTCCATGAACATTATCTGAATGACTTTTTGCATTGTCAGGGGATCAAGTAGGGAAAATGTATGGGTTTGCCCTACATATTTCAGGGAACCATGAAAGTTTTTTTTTTTACCCAGTATATTTTGGTTTCTCATCCTGAGGGTAAGGGGAAGACTTCTATTGAACTTTAGGTCCCTAATCCCTATAGGGAGAGCCCCAGGGGCTCCTCTGGGACTATAGTTTCTCTGTCTGAGAGGGGAAGTTTGTTTTTATTTCCTTTTTTCTCCAATTTTCTTGGTTTGGAGGCCCTAAGAAGGAGGAAGTGGGCAATAACCTCTGATAAACTTTGTAACAAGTTTGTTGAATTTGCACCACTTTGTATGTGGGGGGAGATTACAATCTCCAGGCCTACCTGGTGTGATAGCCCTGGGCTCTCCCTAAAAACTGTTAGTTTTGGTACTGTCAAAGAACTATGTCATTTGAAATTTGAGACCATTTGAGATTATTCAATGTCTGGCACTGGCGGTATGCATTTGGAAGGACAATGTTTGAGCTTCAACAGAATCTCCAGAAAACTTTACATAATGGGGTATATGGAAAAATGTGACAATTGCATCCTAGCCCTTTCGTTTTAGATAGTAAACATTTAACCAGTAGAAAAGTTTGACAATAAAAAACTGTTGTTGAACACAGGGAGCTGGGAGTTCGGGGGTGGGGGGGTGTTGGGGTGGGGGTGGGAATGCTATATGCTTCTCCTCTCAAGGTCCCTCTCAGATCTCGACTCAGGCATTTGTGGATGAGGTTCAAACCTCAAGAAATCTGACCTCCAAAGAGAGGTCACTTTTTTGCTTATTTAAATGATTAGCTCATAGCTTCAGGGGAAATTACCTAAAAGCTTAGATTTTGGACCATTTCTACAATCCCCTCCAAAGTAGGGATTAGAGAGGTACTTAATGTATAATGTAGATCAGGATGGTTACTTATTTCAATTCCAAAGAAAAGACACACAAAGATACATTAACAAAAACTAAAATAAGTAGCAGTAGTAATGTAACTATTATACTCTCCCATGGGGTTTATGATTAAAATAACAGATGATGCAATTTGAGGGACCGCTAAATAGGAATTTTACATTTTACCTTGGTGCTGTACTGTCCAAGCAAACTCTCACCAGGTCCATTTCTTCTGGCAAACCCAGTCATGAGTCAGCTCCTTTCCTTGGTGGTGGTTATCCTCTCTGATGTAGAAACTCCCTTTACTATTAGTCAGCTCCAAATAAAAAACTAAAGATGAACAACCTCTCAAATTTACATTATTGCCTAACACTGGACACCTTCATCTCGGAATCATCTGTTCCAGGGGTGTGCTGGTAAGGTTTAACAACCATCTGTCAGTGGAAAAAAGTAAACATGCCCCAAAGACAATTTTAATACTAACCTGCAATATGAACATTTCCCCCCATCAATTTCTTAAATCTAGACAAACAACAAAACATCAAGTCAAGCCCAGATTTGTATTATTGCCAATTTTAGAGGTGTAAATTCTCACACTGAAAATTTAACACTACTTAGAGCTGGCTCCAGCGCACCCTGACAATTCTCTCACCTAAATTCACAAAATAAAGGAAGCATAAAGAGGAAAGCCCAGACTCAGTCTTGCCTAAACTCAATCAAGTCTTTAAGCTGTCATGTGTATTTACAATTCAATATTTCTGTCCAGGGTAGAGTGAAAAGCACCAGACCTCTTCACTTACCCCTTCAGGAATAGGCTTAAATATTTTTGACACGATCTACAGTCAGAAAGAGAAGTAGAAAAAGATAGATAATTTGCTTTGAAAGATCTCTCTTTGAGTCATCTATTCTTCCTGTTTAGTGGCTAATAAAGGTTTTGCTTCATCATCTCAAAGTGAGAGCTCTGTAGTGATAAGCCCTACCCACCTCATGAAGTTGTTAGAGGTGCAGGTCAGCACTCCATGGTGGGGGTGAAGTAATCCAATTCAATCCCCACTACATATGTGTATGCACGTGTGTAATGTATATTATGTATCAATTGTGTAATGCATAATATGTATCAAATGTATACATATAGACATACATACATATACTATTCTGAAGTCACAGATTTAGAGCTGTATGAAACCTTAGATATCTAGTCCATTGTCCCTATCTCCATTTTATACTTGAGGAAATTGAGTTCCAGAGAGTATTTTTTTTTTGCTTTTTTAGGTAAGGCTATTGGGGTTAAGTGACTTGCCCGGGGTCACACAGCTAGTAAAGTCCCAGAGAGTTTAAGTGACTTGTCAGAGGTCACATTGGAAAATAGATTCAGGTCTTAAAGTAAAATCCTCTGACTTCAAATGCAGTAATATTTCTACAGCATCATGCTGTTTTTCTGTATATAAAGACTGTCTCTGAATTTTTAACAGAATTAAGTTCACAAGTGTGAGAAAGTTATTGAGAATTTACATGTGCAAGTCAGGAAGTTAATTAGCAGTTGCTATAGGAACCAAAACATAAACTTTTCAGGACTATTTAGATAGCATTTTATAAAATCACACCTTGTAATTGTATGTACAATGTAGAAAAATAATTACTACTTTGTGAAAGTAATTGGAGCTTCTGGTTCCAGTGCTTATTAATGTTCAAATATTATAATGAATATGTATATCTTAACATGTAACAACAAATTCTTCAGTAGAAACACAGGAAGTCAGGTATATTTTAGTAGGATCATAGCTCTAAGACTGAAAAGTGCTTTAGGGATATGTAAAAGAATCTTACAAATAAGGAAATTGAAGGTGAGAGAGTTTAAGGTTATAAAACTTTGACATCTTCAGCCCTGAGGAATCTAGAAATTCCCAGTGTCTGAGTTTTTCAGTGAAGGGTTCAGGATCTCTTAGGCCACCTTGGACCCATTAAAGAGTATTCTGAAATCAGAACATAAAAGAGGAGAAGAGAGGAAAGACAAGCAGAAAAGGGGAGGCAGTGTAGCCTAGTGAAGAGAGACTCCCTGTTGGATGTTGGGCAAACTATTTAACTTCTCAGTACTCTAGACAACTGTAATCGAAAGGATTACGTACTGTGCAGATTCAATTTAGGTTCAGATCTCAAGATATAATGACAGGTACGCAGGATAAACTTAGCAAATAATCACATTTATTTACAATGATTAATAGTGATTAAAAACCACACAAACAATAAAGGTAAGAATAACATTCAATGCAATAAGTAATAATCAACACAAAGGAAAGTAGGAATAAGAAAAGAAAGGATACACACTCACTGACCAGGCGAGCTCAAATACCTAATAGACCAGGGAGACTGGAGAATGGCCAAAAGGTCTGGTCAAGAAGGCAACATGGAGCCTCCTACCCAGGACACAACGAAGGCAGTGTACTCGGTCCGCCTCTGACAGAGTTGACGTCCCTATCTCTGCAATCAAAGTCTCCAAAATCTTCCTTTCCAATGACCCTTTTTATATCCATGTAAACCAGGGAAAAACAATCTTGATATTTTGTTTTGTGTACATCTCCTTGGTGAGTACTCAGATCCAGGGTACATACACATTCTAACAATGGTTGGAGCTTGATCAGAGCTCCAACTATCTGTTTATTGTGTAATTGTCCAAGAAGTGATCAATTCCTTGGACAAGTAACATGCTTTTCTCAAGAAAAATGTTCCTTGAGATAGAATGTTTTCCCAGGTAACATTGTTTAGTTGTTACTTAATGTTCCAGTCTGCTTGATCCTGGCCATGCTTTGATGACTCCATTTTATCTTTATGTCAGGTCATGAGGCAGTTACACCGTTAGGTCATAAGACAATTACACAGGGGGCTGGGGAGGATCTATCCTCAGCTTCCCTTACAACAACTCCCTAAGACTTCAACTCACAGAGAAGGTGCTGGCCTAGGCTGGTAAAGGGAGTTCCCCAGGAGCTCTCACCAATGAAATCATAAGTCCAGTCTCTAAGTGTGTGTATGTGTGTGTGTAGAATACACACACACATACACAAATACATATATATATATATATACATACATACATATATATATATACATATATATATATTTAATTGCTGTACACATATATAATACATACATATATATTTATTTGTTATGAAATATGGCAAATAATTCATGTTAATGTGCTTAAAACATTCATTTATCTATCTGCCCAATATATACTTATTTATTAATACTTGTTTTGGTGCTCTGAGGTAAAAATGATTGTATAACATTTAGAGATTGTTCTAACTCTAAAGAATTTAAAACTTAGTTGGAGACACAAGACTAGTATACATGAAATATTTAATCATAATAGCTAGAATTTATATTAGTGCTTTAAGTTTGCAAGGCACTTTAGAAACATTGTCTTATCCTCACAACAATCCTGGGAGGTAAATGTTATTATCATCCCCATTTTACAGATGAGGAACTGAGGCAAACAGCTGTTAAATGACTTAGCCAGAGTCATATAGTTGGTAAGTGTCCAGAGTTGGGTATGAAATGAAGTCTTCCTGACTCCAGGTCCTGCGCTCTATCCACTTCACCACATAGCTGATGTAACATACAAAAATGAATGGTAGAGACTGTGGGAATTCATAGAAAGAAAAAGTCAATGGTTAGTTAAGGAAGGTTTCATAAAAGAGGGAGGTATTCTGAAGAGGAGACACAGCATGGACAAAAGCAAAGAGTAAAGATGTACAACAGACAAGAAGGAGTTCAATCTGCCTGGAGCAAAGACTTCACACTGGGGTGCAGTGGGAGATAAGTTTGGAGAGTTTCACCCTATATTGGGAATGCCTCTTCCACTGAGGCTTTGCACAAGACATATTCCCTGAAGTGTTTTATGCCTTTGACAAATATATCTTCTTGCTTTATGCATTACTTCATTCATCAGAAGATCAAAGAATAAAGTTTTCTCTGTAGTTGCCTCTATCAAGGAATATTATATGATGATAATGAAAACATGAGAGACAGAATAGAGATTTTAAGGCTATGTTCTGTTTTACCTAGTTTTTTTTTTGTAATAAACGTACAATAAATTCTGGTCTTCATTCCTGAAGATGAGATAAGATACAGAAAATCATTATAGTTTCATAAAGTGTATCCTTCATACACACACACACACACACACACACACACACACACTTTTTTGTAAGGAGTTTTTGGGCTAATGTCACTGTTGTATGCCTGTGGAACCTGGAGAGTGTACTAGCACCATGCCAGGAAATGGAATCTCTTCCATTTGAGTTGTCTTAGGAAGATTCTGAAGATCACCTGGCAACATAAGATCCTGGGAATTGAGGTTGTTTCTCAGGCTGAACTGCCAAGCATTCAAACCCTACTGCAGCCGCTGACCATGTTGTTCAAATGCCAAATGTAAGTTTGCCTAAAAAAACCCCAAAAAACAAAACTTATTTTATGGTTAAAGAAAATCATCTGCTTCAGGATGAAGTGAGCAGAACCAGGAGAACATTGTTAAGTAGTAACAAAAACATTGTGTGAGGACCAACTTTGATAGATTTAGTTCTCAGCAATGCAATGATCTAAGACAATTCCAAAAGGCTCATGATGGATAACGCTATCCACACCCAGAGAAAGAACTATGAAGTCCGAATGCAGATGGAAGCATACTATTTTCTCACTTTTTTTCTTTCTTGTGGTTTTTTTTCCCTCTTTGTCCTTCTTTCATGACATGACTAATGGGGAAATACGTTTAATATGATTGTACATGTATGGCCTATATCAGATTTCATTTCATCTTGGGGAGATGGGAAGAGAGTGTGGGGGGATTTAGAACTCACAATCTTGTAAAAGAGAATGTTGAAAACTAAAAATAATTTAATAAATAAAATCCTTAGAGTGCTCAAAAAATCATCTGCAAAAGTCTTCCTCTTTTTATAGTTTCATAAAGAATATCTTTCACACACAACTTTTTTTGTAATGAGTTTTTTTTTAGAGATGAAAGAATAGATATGTGGTTCAGTAGTTGCTAATGTTTTCTCAGTTCCTTTTGGAGGCTTAATAGTGCCTATGATTCTGTGTGACTCTGGGCAAGTCCCTTAACCTTGATTGCCTCACCAAAAAGCAAAAAAAAAAAATAGTACCTATGAGTTGTTGCTATAATCCAAGAAAGCTGCTTTATAGAACAACTCTGAGAACAGAAGTCTGTTAATAATGAGTATTTCCATGTGCTGCAATGTTTGTTTCCATGAAGTTTAATATTATGCTTAATACCATTCAGTAAGAGAATGGCATTTGACACTGCCACCCCTTACCCTTTAAAGTACTGAAGAAGAGTATCAGAATATTGGTAGATGATACAGATCAATTTCATTCTATATAACCTCATCATTTTTACTGTCACATTTGTATGTGGTCATTGGGAGGCGATGGTTACTGTGTTGGGAGCTGTGGAAGATGGAGTCAGTCTCCTACAGAATAATATATGATCGGTACCTGTAACCCATCTACAAAGAGACAGTACTTCACATAAGAGATATGCAAAATGCTGTGTGAGATTCAAAGGGTGGGGGTATCATTATCAACTTGGTAAGGTGTGGAAGTGGAAGGGAAATCAGAAAAGGTTTTCAGGAAGAAGTGGTATTTAAGCTTCGCTTTAGAGGATGGGTGGGATTTTCAACAGGAAGACATGCAAGGAGGAGGAGTGAGGAAATACCAGGCATAGGGCCACTGATTAAAGACACAGAGGTAGGGCGTGAATGACAAATATTATGTTCTCCGATCCAGCTGGAGCTTTGGAGACACACAAAGTCTAACGCTGCAAAGGGAGCAGCATGCAAATAGATGGTAATGTGATTTTGGTTTTGATGAACACTATGAAGTGGCTTTAGCAAAACCTGCAATTGATTACTATATCGAGATAACCCGTGTAACTAGTGACTAAACATTCTAGGATATTTTCCCTATGAGCATAAAACTGGAAAGTGCTTCCAGTAGCGAAATAGCTACCCATACAGGTAATATTCAAAATCAACATTATAAAGTGCCTAGTATATGTTGTTGAGTTGTGTCCCGGTATTCATGATCCCATTTGGGGTTTTCTTGGCAAAGATACGGGAGTGGTTTGCCATTTCCTTCTCCAGCTCATTTTTAGGTGAGGAACTGAGGCAAACAGGGTTAAGTGACTTGGCCAGGGTCACACAGCTAGTAAGGGTCTGAGGCTGGATTCAAACTCAGGAAGATGAGTTTTCTGATTTCCAGGCTACTGCTCTATCCACTGTGCCATCTGCTGCTGGGAATACAGAAACAAACAGACGAACAAACAAAAACAGTCCCTGACCTCAAGGGACTTCCACATTATTGGGGAAAACATGTATACACAAGTAAATACGAAATCAAATAAAGTAAATACAAGGCATTTGGGGGCATCAGTAAAGGCATCATGCAGAAAGCAGCTCTAGAGCTGAGTTGTAAAGGGAACCTATTATTCAAAGAGGCAGGAATGAGCAGGGATCCATTCCAGACTTGGAAGACAACCTGTACAAATTCATGGTGGAGGAAGAGGAACAGCAAGTATGCCAGTTTGACCAGACCATGTAGTGCAGAAGGGATAGAAATGAATAGCGAGTCTGGAAAGGTGGGCTGGAGCCGGACTAGAAAAGGATATAAATGCCAGAGAAATAAAGGTTTTATGCTCAAAGCAATAAAGAACCACTGGCAGTTTGTTTTTTTTTTTTTGAGAACAGGAATGACAAGATCCAACCTGTGCTTTGAGAATAATACTTTGGCAGCTGTGTGGAAAAAGGATTACATTTTTAGGAGGTGAGTGAAATCATTAAGGATAAATAACAGCACAGATTTCATTCTAAGATAGTTTTTGCTTAGCACAGGGTCTGGCACATAGTAGGTGCTTAATTAATGTTTGTTGATTGATTGGCTGATTAAATGGTGATATAGGAAAGACTATAAAGTTAAGTGAAGAGTATAAGGTAAACATATTGGTCCCTAACATTTTCTAAATATTTCTAGTAGAATCTATTCCATGACCTTTCTCCCCTCCCTCTGTACACGCTCAAGAACTTATTGAGGACAAGTACATATTGAATGCTAGCTTTAAATATCTGTCATCAAAAACCATTTTTTAAGAAAGACATGAATATTGCTAACATGAAAAAGTTATACTTGTAGTCATGGCTGGAGATTATCCTAAGTTTATAATCAGAAATGAAACCTTTTGTATTGGGAACAAATATGAAAAACAACATCAAAAAGGTTTCCAAACACAATGTAATTTGTGAAAGTGTTACTGAAAAATCAGTTTTTGTACCAAAATATCTCACAGTGAGTAATATCTCTGGCATCCATCACCTTCTTTCTACTCACACACCTACCATCTTAGTTTACTCTCCTTTCCAGTGAACTTTGAACTTTGTAAAAGCTTCATAATAATTTGTTTTCCTGCCTCCAGTGCCTTCCTTATCTGACCCCTTGTTACACAGCTTGAAGAATGGTTTTCTAGAAACATGGGTTTGACACATTTTCTTGCTTAGTAAACTCTAGTGGCCAGGATAAAATACAAACACCTTTGTCATTTGAAGCCCATCACAACATAGATCTAATCTACTTTTCCAACATAATTATGTTACCCCAGTTTACCAGTTTGAGGGTCCATCTAAAGCTGGTGTGTTACCTCATACAAATATTCTTATCACTTCTCCCTCTGCCTTTGCAGATGTTGTCTGTTATGCTTGGAGTATATTCTCTCTGCCTCTTAGAGCCCTAATTTCCTTCAAAGCTCAGCTCAGGTACCATATTCTACATGGAATCTTTTTTTAAAAATTTTAATTTTTATTGCTTTTTGGTGAGACAATTGGTGTTAACTGACCTGCTCAGGTTCACACAGCTAGCCAGCGTCAAGTGTCTGATGTCAGATTTGAACTCAGGTCCTCCTGACTCCAGGGACCATTGCTCTATCCACTGCACCACCTAGCTGATCCTCCCTGCCTCCCACCCCAAATGCCTTAGCTGTGTCCTACAAAGAACTAGCCCTACTGAGCAGTGGAGTCACCTGTATGTCAAGATATACTATCTTGTAGTTAAGTTTATGAGGAAACTTTGAAACTTCCTAGCTGGTGACCTTGGGCAAGTCACTTTGTCTCTGTTTGCCACTGGAGAAGGAAATGGCAAACTATTCCAGTATCTTTGCCAAGAAAACCCTATGAACAAAGGTCCACTAGGTCATAAAGAGTCCAACATGACTGAAATGACTGAATGACAAAAAAACAAAACAAAATAAAATTTTGGAAAAAGGAAAGGACATCAAGACTGACGTTTGGGAGTTGTGAGTTGCTTTGGCCCCATCTTTTTCCCTACATGTATAACCACAACCACGTGTACTCTCAATTCATGTCACTTTTACCCCCAGCCTACTATATGGACTGCATTTGTAGAAGAGTGCAAGTTGATTTTGAGGGGAGGATTGATTTGCCATTTGACCACCTTTGCTCAAAATGTCTACATGATGCTTGTTAAGGAAAAACAAACCCATGGGGTCTTGTAGACTAGGTTGGTGAGAGGAAAACCATTCATAGAGTTACCCCCTAGAGAGTTACAGCAGCCACACCTCTGGATACTCAATTTACCAGTATCTGTGTGAGTTGGAGGAGTGAGGGGAGGGGATCTTTCTGGCAAGTACAGTACCTTGTACAGTACAGTACAATACAGTACACTTCCCTGCAGGGTCCTGGCTGCTTCCTAAAGGTGCAGAGATTCGGTAAACTTCTTCCTTCAGAGAAGAAGGGACTGCTTCATTTGTGTCTTGGGATTAACACCTACCACAGCTTCTGGTACATAAAACTTACTAACTTTTTGCTGATTGCTTAAAATGAAAGGCATGCTACATTTGAAAGCACGGTGGGTGATACTGTGGAAAGATCTGGCTCTAGAGTGAGAGATCTGGGTTTAAATTCCACTTCTGGTACTTATCTGTGCGAACTTGGACAAGTCGCAACCTCCCTGGGTCACAATTTTTTTATTTTTAAATTGAGGCGATTGTATGAGGTAGTCTTTGAGGTTCTATCCAGCTTTGATATATGATCCTATGACCTAGGCTTGAATAGTCATATTACTAGGATGATCTTGGGTAAGTTATAACTTCTCTGGGCAAAATGTGTCAGGCTGAAGACTCTCAAAGGTCTCTTTCAGCTCTATGCCTTCGTTGTTAAACACTTAAAGCATAATGATGATCATAAGGCTACTTGTGAAAAAAAGATAAATAGATTAAATTGATAGGATCCAGCGTTGGTTGGGAAGACAAAGTCTCTTGTAATGAAGTCTAGGTTATTAGTCACACCTTTACAACTGCTTGTTTCATTCTAGTTCTCTTTATTGTAGTAAACTCTTCTAGATTTAAACACTAAACATCTAAAATGGATTTTGTTTGTGGGTTTCTTCTCATCACACCCTCTGGGCTCTGGAGGCGCAGAAAATCCAGAGAGGTGGATGAGCATCTTCAGTTATTAAACACTAGGGAAAAATGTGTTCACTGGGGTCATCTTGTCCTGCCACCACTCTGCCCTTCAGCACTCTCCACCCCTTCCCAAAGCCCTCTCTTGTTGACCCTTTAGGACTCAGAGTAAACAGCGGTTCTCCTCTCCTATTCCGTTTCCAGTTTCTCCTTTGGCAGCCGCGCAACAGATGAAGGCCGGGCGAATTTGGAGCGCCCCAGCCAAAGCTCGGCCGGCTTAGAGAACAGCCAGCTCTCGGCACGGAAGTTTGCAGGGCTCTTGCCAGTCGGATGACTGCCTTCCCTCCCTCCTCCACTTCCTCCTTCTCCCCGACCTCTCAACCGCCCCCGAGCCATCAGCTCCTCCTCCTCTCCCTTCTCCGCCTACTCTTCCCAGCCCGGGTTGCACTAAGGCCGGGATGTCCCTCTGTTCCCAGGTCAGTGCCCTGCCAGCAGCAGAGAGTTAAGCACCGGACTAAAGCCGAGGGAAACGGGATTAAGGGGGCGGGATTGTGGGAGGGAAAGAGGACGGGCGTGGAGGGCCGGCCAGAGTTCCAGCCCACGCAGCGATCCCAAGAGAAAATCGTCCCCAGCCGGGAGAGTCCCTCTCCCTAGTGGACACCACAGCCAGCTCTGCTCTCGTCCCTCCCTTCCGTGGCTGGGGCTGTAGGAAACTTTGTCTCCGCTAACTTGCAGCAGGGGCGCCGGTGGGCGCGGAGCAGCTGCGGCCGACGAGGGGGTTGCTGGGGGCGCTAAGGCAGGCGCTGAGCCGCGCACTTCAGAGATGGCCCCTTGGCTGGGGAGGAGGCGGCGGCGGCGGCTGCCGCTACTGCTTCTCCACCTCCGGCGCCGCTGCCTCCACCTCCTTCTCCCGGGCCTCCTGCTGCTACTGCTGCCGCCCCTGCCACCTCTCTGCAGCGCCTTCAACCTGGATGTGGATAGTCCCGCCGAGTATTCTGGCCCGGAGGGAAGTTACTTCGGCTTTGCGGTGGATTTCTTCGCCCCAGACCCTTCCTCGTAAGTGGCCGCAATTTAGCTGGGAGTCTTCCTTTTTTTCCTCCCTTCTTTCTGCGCATTCTGCCTTGAGTTCTAAGCAGGTCTACGAATCCTGTTCCGACTCTTGGGGGTTGACGAAAGCGTCCCCCACAAAGGGGGATGGGAGGTAAGTGTAGGTTAGATCTTCTGGTCCTAGCTTTTACGCTTGAAAAAAGTGAAAGTCCAACAGAGACTATTTAGGTTGGCTTACCACTCCGCGCCCCTTCTGCCAGTTGTAGGTACTGGGGTTACTTTCACACTCAACCCCCTCTTTTTCAATTCTCTAACACTCCAACCATCCCTTTCCTTTACTGTTTTCCCAGACGAGGGGTTTCTTACTCTTTTCCCCTTCCTTTTTTGCTTGCTAGGGTTCTTTTCTGGATTCTCTTTCTCTTTTCCATCCCTCTCCCACATTGTCAGAAGTGTAACAATAGCTACATTGTACACTGAGTATGCCGTGCCTTATCTCTAGAACTTCCAGGCTTTTGCAGATTTGAGGCTGGGCAGATGTATGGAATACACAGTTTGGAGTCATTGTTTTGAAAGAATGTGGGTACTTGTTGGATTTTCTTTCTCTGAGAATTTGCTTGAATCTTCCGGGGTTTGAGAATTCAACTCTGTTTCAGCTGTTCAGAATTCATCGTGACGTGAGATTTTAGACGTTGTAACAGTTACTATCAGTATTTAATCAAAAACTGCTTCTTTTTCAAACGCTTACTGCTTGTTAGGAAAACATGCCCTGGATATTCGCGTGGAAGTACTGATTTTATAAGGACATATATTTTATTATCCTTTACAATTTTAAATCCAATTTACAAAACGGATAACGATGTTTAAGATTTTTTCTGAAACTTTGATAATTACATCAGACACTTTTATGTCCATTCTTTGTTTTCTCTCTTGAGAGTATTGCTTATACTGTTTCAGAGGATATTCATACTGCATTTTAATTTGCAAGAGATAATTTTAAATAGGCTTGAGGATAGGCCTATTTTATTATTATAAATTTGTACCAGACTTGGTGATGTTATGCATATTTTACCATAGCCTAAAAATTAAAGATTTCTCCCATTGTCTATCATATTATTCAAAACAAAACACCTACTTCCCCTAAGTGCCACACTTAAGAGTCATTCCATTGAATGTCATTTATTTAATAAGAAATCTGTTCAGTAGGCATAGTCTGAACTACCTAGATTTAAAAAAAAACAGGAAAGAAAACATGCTGCCCACTTTTCTGCTTTAGTCTTGTTCCATAACAGCTTTACATATTTTTTTTTAGTTTGGGATACAGGTTATCTTTGTTAAGTGATACAAATAACTTGGGCTAAAATTGTGAAACATGTTTGTATTCTTTGTTTCCACTTTCTCTTGATTCAGTATTAGTCATCTTTCCTCTTCTTTTGGTATCAAAACCTTTTCATATTTACTCTTAATGGTAGTGTTTTATTGTTGTCGAGGGGTTCCTCTTAAATTCACTTTGTATAGAAATTCCAAAAATTTTGAAAGTATGTAGCCCTCTAATACTGCATTGAGAACACTTTAAGTTAGAACTTAAATTCTACAGAGAGGAGTATTTTGCAAATAATATCTTCATTTTCTGGAAAGTCCTGTAAGGTAGGTGGAAAGATAGAAGAGGTTGATAAAACTTTGTGAGCTTTTGAAAACTTTTATTCCCATTTGAAATTTGGTAAAGTTCAGCTATTGGCAACAATGACACTAAGATGTCCAGATACTTTGGCTGATTCTTGATTTGTTGAAATATTCTGCTTGCCACATGGATTCAAGGATCTTTAAACCTCCTTTCCAGCTTTAAAGCTATGATCATATGATTCCACTAAAGATGTCTTCAGTGGTGGTGTGAACTTGAGTTTGTTATATTTTTGCCAATTGATTTATCTCTAAAATTGGGATGTTGTGAAAATCAAATGAGAAAGAATGTAAGAGTGTGTTGGGCCGCTTTACAAACATCAGCACACACACACACACACACACACACACACACACACACACATACCCTAAGTGTTAAGAAAGAAAAAAAATCACTATAAAATAATATGGTCCCACAAGTTATAATAAAAATTATTTCTTAATTTACTATTCAAATAGTGTAGTTTTAAAAAATACTTTTTTCATTGAGTTAGCAGAGGGATGCTGTGGGGTATAGTTCCTGCTTTTATAAATTTACCGAATAAATGAATTTATTCTTGGGTAGTCTTAAAACTATTAATATGAAATAAAACACATCTACCAAAGGTGGGAATGGGGTATAGAGCTTCCATGTATTCCTAAAGTCTTTTTGTCTCCAAAAAGAAAGCAGACTAGATTACTTAGGAAACTAAAAGGAACTATAATGATGCTTGATAATAAATTTTAATCCAAGCTCTGCTGTTGTCTATGGGTAATACTGGACAAGTTGCAGAATTGTTTTCTGCAAGATTTTTGTGTTTGAGGATGATAGTAGTGATGATATCTTGCAAGATATTATCATGGAAATTGAAAATATAAGTACTAGTGTAAAAACTTTTGACAACATAAAGGAAAAGGAAATTCTGATATAAAATTAAACTTAATAAAAACAGTGATATAATTGAAAAATCTTGATGAAAAGAATTTTAAAATAAATTGGAATATATTTTTTTAAAAAAATTGTAACTTTTGATATTAGATTAGTAAATAGTGTCAAACTTATCCAATGTGAAAAGAGATGTGGCCATATTCTTGCTGCTGACCCATAGAAAGCCAACTAATTCTGTAATTTATCAGGCATATTCTTTGTGGGGATGGCTATGTGATAGCAAAGGGTGGAAATCAAAAGGTTTTTTTTTCTATTCAAACCTCCCACTCAGTGCTGCAATAAAACTAATAAAACAGTTGATAGAATTATAAAATTATAGACTTTTAGAGCGAGGAGAAAATGAGAAAGGAATATCTATCTATTCCTATCTTTCTGTCTGTCTATCTGTATATGTATATATATATATATATATATATGCATATATTTAACCCTCATTATTTAGTGTAGTATCTTTACCTGGGCAATGCTCAATTAATAGTTGTTGACTGACTGATTAATTTATTATTATGTTATAGTATCCTAGAGCAATTTTTTCTGTCTTCCAGATTTTCTTGAATTTCTTTCTAAACATATGACCTGTAGTATGGCTATAGATAAACAATCCTGAATTTAGTGAGTTAACTTGAGAAAAGTTCTCTTTGGGGCAGTAGGAAGAACTTTTTGATACCTTTTAGAGCCCAAAGAGAAGAATTCCACTCTATGTTCTTAAGGATTAGTGGCAAGTAAGGGAAAAGAAAGACTATACAAAGTACACTAGGCAAAGCCTAGATGTATTGGAATGTTTTCACACTCATTAAAGAGATGACTAAGGAAAGCAACCTGGAATCTTTCATATTATATTACAACCTGTTATATTTTTGACAGAAGACATCTTTGTTGATGGTAAATAAAACAGTATCAGAACTTTACTGCTAGGGGGAACCTTAGAGACCATCTAAAGTAATTCCTTTGTTTTACAGGGAAAGTGTCAGAGACATAAAATGTTTTTTGATTATAAAAAATGACAGTTTGTGTCATGTTCTTTCAGTAGTCAGACAGAGGAGTATATAGTACAAGTCAAATATTCATTGTATCTATAAGTGGAAGGGTCTGTAGGGACCATTTAATATAATTTCTTAATTTCACAGATTATGAAACTATGGTTGAAATATCATGTTTATTGTACAAGATCATGGGTAGTCAGTAGCAGAGCTGGGGTTCAAACTTACATTATCTAATTCCATATGCAGTATTCTCATCATATGTTTCTATTAAGCACTGGTTGTTTGAGGCATCTTATGTAGCTCGGTGGATAGAGGGCTGGGCCTGTAGTCAGGAAGATCTGAGTTCAAATATGGATATAGATACTGATTAGCTGTTTGATCCTGGGTGAGTCACTTAACTTCTGGTTGTCTAATCGACTGGAGAAGGAAATGGCAAACCACTCTAGTACCTTTGCCAAGAATACCTCATACTGGATCATTAAAGTCAGACAGGACTGAACACTACCACCACCACCACCACCACCACCAACTGGTTGTTTACTTCATAGAGAGACCTTGGAGAGAGTAAAACTTGAAATCATGACTCAGACATAGATTAGCTGTGTGACCATGAGCCAGGCACTGAACCTCTCAGTGCCCCAGATAACTCTAAAGACTAAAATTAGTGAGGAGTTGACATCTGCATTAGGAGAAAGTTTTCTACCATATTAATTCATGAAGTTAGGTGTAGCAAGTGTATATTTTATTCATTAGGCTGTGATAAAAAGAGGACAGATGGCATTTATTTAAAGCTAACTCAATAATATCTGTTTCCTCAAGGGGTGGCATTTCCTCTGAGATAAACTGCAGCCTTTCTACCATTTAGGAAATTTTTATATGTTGCTTTTGTTAAAAAGAAAAAATCTGTCACCTGTTGGCTAACTTTCTGATTATTATTATTACTAGGCAAGTCCTTGGGCAGTACATATTGTCTGGCACTTTCAAGTCTTTCTAGCTTAGTAGGACCTACCAGAGCTTCTCTTTTGCTGGGAATAGTGTTCAAGAACCCAGGGTCACTTTCACAGTCTGTAAGTATTGAAATAGGATTAATGACAATAAATTGGCTGACAACATTTATTTTGTGAATTTTTTATTTGAAGTTGTTAAAAACAAATCCTTGTTGATGATCATTTACCCATAGTCCAAATCCACCTACAATCGAATTGTAAGGTGGGACAGGTATCATGGATTCACATTTTTGTATGATCTTCTATTACAGGTTTAAAAATAAAGTTTTCTGGTGCATCTTGAGAACATAGGAAATTGTGTGACTTCTGGGAACTAGGCAAGATTAAATGTGAGCTAGTTCTCTGTATAAAGCTTTTGTGTATGTTATATAGTTTGTAGGTTAGAGATCCTAACAATACATCACAACTACAGTG